ATTAAGCAACCAGATAATAACACTCAGCTGCCTGTTTCCTTTCTTTTTTTAATATAGTAACACCACTCTGTGTGAAATTAGAGTCAAACAGAGGGCATAAATACAGCATAAAAAATATATCCTAGCCAATTATAGTGTGATATTATAGGCTGGATTTACATGTCACACTAAACCATAATGTGCTTTATTTGACTTTGGTTTAGTATATTGTGTGAACCCATCCAGTGCTGGTTTAAAATTATGATTTAAGCCAGTGTTTCCCAACTGTGCAGTTTCCAGGTGTATGAACTTCAGATCCCAGAATTCCATAGCCAGCATAGCCATCAATGAGAATTCTGGGAGTTGAAGTCCACACACCTGGAAGTTGCCATGGTTGGGAAACACTGATTTAATCCTTGGCTGAACAGATCCTTCTTTGCTTGGCACCAAAACCTTGCCAGGCTCAGTGCTGAACGTAAGTGAATGCCGGTCCTTTGTTGGTATTTTAGGGCCTGCTGTTGTCCCCCATCAGTACTACGGAGTAGCCCCCTGGGGAGTATATCCTGCCAGTCTTTTCCAGCAGCAAGCTGCTGCTGCCGCCGCCACAAACTCCTCAAATCAGCAAACCTCTCAGCAGACCCAGCAAGGGCAACAGCAGGTAAGAAGCATCACCTTGCTTTGCTCAAAGACTGACTACACATTGCCATTGTTGTACGTAGATGTGATCCGGTTGGTGACAATGTGAGACTGTTTTTGGGGGGTTTCCTTATGAGCAGTCTTGTCTTGGAGCCAGGTCTGTAGTTGTAGCAAAGTGTATAAGTCAGTGTTTCTCAACCTTGGCCACTTGAAGATGTGTGGACTTCAGCCCCCAGAATTCCCCAGCCAACATGGCTGATGGGGAATCCTGGAAGTTGAAGTCCACACATCTTCAAGTGGCCAAGGTTGAGAAACACTAGTATAAGTAGAAGCTGATAAATGAGATTTGTGTGTTAGCCTTTGAATTTCAGAAAGGAGAAGGTCTAGTGTATGCATAAGAGAGGAGGAGAGGTAGAGGAGAAAGATGGAAATGTGGCCATGAATGTACAGTGGGCAAAAAAGTATTTAGTCAGCCACCAATTGTGCAAGTTCTCCCACTAGGCCACTCCAGGACCTTGAAATGCTGCTTACGAAGCCACTCCTTCGTTGCCCGGGCGGTGTGTTTGGGATCATTGTCATGCTGAAAGACCCAGCCACGTTTCATCTTCAATGCCCTTGCTGATGGAAGGAGGTGATCACTCAAAATCTCCCGATACATGGCCCCATTCATTCTTTCCTTTACACGGATCAGTCATCCTGGTCCCTTTGCAGAAAAACAGCCCCAAAGCATGATGTTTCCACCCCCATGCTTCACAGTAGGTATGGTGTTCTTTGGATGCAACTCAGCATTCTTGACCTTGAAATGCTGCTTACGAAGCCACTCCTTCGTTGCCCGGGCGGTGTGTTTGGGATCATTGTCATGCTGAAAGACCCAGCCACGTTTCATCTTCAATGCCCTTGCTGATGGAAGGAGGTGATCACTCAAAATCTCCCGATACATGGCCCCATTCATTCTTTCCTTTACACGGATCAGTCATCCTGGTCCCTTTGCAGAAAAACAGCCCCAAAGCATGATGTTTCCACCCCCATGCTTCACAGTAGGTATGGTGTTCTTTGGATGCAACTCAGCATTCTTTCTCCTCCAAACATGACAAGCTGAGTTTAGACCAAAACATTCTACTTTGGTTTCATCTGACCATATAACATTCTCCCAATCCTCTTCTGGATCATCCAAATGCTCTCTAGCAACCTTCAGACGGGCCTGGACATGTACTGGCTTAAGCAGGGGGACACATCTGGCACTGCAGGATTTGAGTCCCTGGTGGCGTAGTGTGTTACTTTGTTACTTTGGTCCCAGCTCTCTGCAGGTCATTCACTAGGTCCCCCCGTGTGGTTCTGGGATTTTTGCTCACCGTTCTTGTGATCATTTTGACCCCACAGGGTGAGATCTTGCA